AGTGTAGTGTAGTGTAGTGTAGTGTAGTGTAGTGTAGTGTATTGTATTGCGAAAGTTAACTGAAAAGATAAAGCCTACAACTTCCCTTTCTTTGGTACACTGTTTTCACATGGAAATTCACTGGCATGGAAGAATTTTTAGTTTTAACTTTTCTATGATTCGTTAAATGGGCTTCTTCTTGGTGTTAAAGGCACAAGGAACGTCACAAAAGAAAACCGTCTCCCAAGCCTATTGTTATCATTTTGTTTTCATTGTTTTCCTCATTTTGTTTTTTTGCTCCTAATTGTTTTCTCCTTTTGGTTACGTCAGCTGTGCCTTCTACACCAAGTAAAAGCCTTTAAGTGTATGTTTTACAATTTGTATTCTTTTCTAAACGTGCCTGATTTTGACACTCCAGCCTGTTACACTATTTTAAACTCTCGTTACTGTTTTCTCTGTCAGTAATATATTGCGTGTATATATACACCCTTTATAAACAAGCACTACAGGGCTTGTATGGCTTAAGTGCAACACATTTGTCCTGTTTAATCAGATAACTTTATGATTTTTCTAATATGTAGACCTCCACTTCTAGACAACAGTATATTATCTCAGTCACCTTTTCAACATTGTTTTCCTTGTAGCTGTTCCATGTTACTCCATCTGTAGAAAGATGCACTTTGTAGCTGGTGATCCAGTGAGAGCCTGCCCTTTGTCCTTGTGTCGCTACTGCACAAACAGAGTGCACTGCACCCATGTCAACTTGAAGATAGTCTGTTCTGTCTGCTGATGTCTTTGTACACCACCCTCCATTTGACCTGTTCTCATTTAGTCGGCCATAGTATGGTTAATGATTTCCGCTATAAGATGTGCTTGCCGTCATTTTAACATCTGGTATTTTGTTCCTGTCTTCTACACCAACAGGTCCACATACTGAGCAACAAGTAATAATAACAATCATCATCATCATCATCATCATCATCATCATCATCATTGTTATTAATAATGGGTTGTTCGAAAGCCGGTTAGCGCTAATTAACCCAGGATTAAAAGTTAAAAGAAGTAATAGATTTTTTTGTATAGGAATATCTTTCATTGCTTATGTGTAGTTTAAGGTGAATCAAACTCAAAACTGAAAGCCGAACAAAATAAAAAGAAAACTGGACCGAAAAGTTACAAAACTGAAATCAAAATTCTCTCTAATCCTGGGTAAGTTTGATAAGGGTTTGAACAACCCGGCCCTGGATATTTGAGACTGTGGTGACTTAATTATTTAGCAGTATTGGTACAATATTGGTTTATTGCAAGAGATATATGGAGAGACTGTTGCCAAGTTTAAATTTATATTACTCGAGTGAAATTAAGTGTCCTCAAGTCGCCTAAAATCGCCTTAAGTCCTCTAAAATCGCCTTAAGTCGCCTTAAGTCGGCTAAAATCGCCTTAAATCGCCTAAAGTCGCAATGTTTTTTTTTTGCTAAATTTGCTTAAGACGCCTAAAGTCGCCTTAAATCGTCCAAAGTCGCCTTAAGGTTACGGCGACTTAAGGTCCCAGAGTAGGCCTGATCGTCACATCGAAGATAGGTTATATGATTAAAAAAATGTTGAAAACAATCGTTTAAAGTATATATGGAATGTACAAGACTTACCCTCTTGATTGCAACCGTCGACAGGAAACTCACAAATATACCCAGGCCTTGCTTGTGATGTACAACCCAAGTCATTATACTTTCCATAATCTCTCCGATAATCCTTGTACATAGCTGCACAATTCCCATCACCATTCGGTTCACCTTTTGCCCAAGGAAGATCTATCTGAGATGAGTTCTTGTTACTTAACCATCTCCACTGTCTAGACCGATAATCTCCTCTCAAACCGATAAAATATTCGTTAGCTATTGTCAACTTTAAGATAGTGTTTTTCAAGAAGATCCACTCCGCGTTACTTTCAATAGACACAAGATCACGTCCAGCCTGCTTGCACATTTGCCTGCTTTTCTCCCAACTAACACGGAGAGAATTCGCGTGAATCGTGTAAAAGGAACAGCCACCTTTGAACCATGTAAAGGCTTCACCTATATAACAGAAAATTACGAACAAAGATGAAAACTAGTCAAGCATTCGTATCGGGGGAGGAGTACTCCATATACCTTTTTCAGACTTCAGCTGCAGGTATATTAAAGGTTAAGGGGTTCACAAGTTGAAGTAGCTGAAAGGGTAGAGGTATCTTTCTTTTAGGTATTCAAAAGAGACCTTAATTAAAATATTTCGAAGAGACGCACCTTACGGCAGTATCATTTAATTTATCAAGCACTACCTCATTAACTTCATTTCAAGGGTTTAAAAAAGAGATGCAATGTTCTCACGAAAGTAAGGGAACGGAGTACCTTTGTGAATAGCCGTTACATGAAAGGCGTACCTTATGGTATATAAGGGGTAAGGAGTTGAACCTCGGGGCGGAGCCTCCCCGCATAAAACTTTGCAGAGTAACCACCCCCCCCCCCCTTCTTTCTGGATATAAGACATTCAATTAACCGTGGTAAACTTATTCATGTTTTTATTTGCCTAATTTCCTGACCAACGACGGGAAAACTCGACACCTTATAATCTCAAGGACATTAATGTAATATATAACGATTATACACTACGCTGACGTATGGCAAAGTAGGGTAACGGATTAAATCTTTTTTGTTTTGCAAGAAATAATAGTACCTTCAAATAATAATAACAATAACAA